TTGGCAAATTTTCTAGGTTCCTTGGGAAGGCGATTTTCAATTTTATATTTTGAAGACCTCCAAGGTTATTAGCTTCGGTGCGGAGTTGAGAAGGTATTGTTTTTACATTGATGTGTTTTTATATATTTTTTTTATTTTCTATTTTCGTGTCTGGACTCAGACGATATCTTGTAAACCCCTAAACCGATTTATTCGTGTAGCAACTCTATAGATCAGAAATCATACCTGGAAGGTACTTTACCGGGACAAAAATTTAAAAAAGTCACCCCTTCCCCATCAAAATCGAGAAAAACACCTAAAAAATGTACAAATTTTTCAACTTAAAATTACGATGCTCTATAACTTTTTTTTTAAATAGTTGAAAATGTTCCGAATTTATATGAATTGTTCTTCAATCATAGTACTATCGATAAACATTAACAAACCAAAAAAAATATCATTAACCTTTTCCCTTAGAAGGGATAGAATTTTTTTCTTTATTTCACTTTTTCAAGCAAAGTTTTAGAGATTTAGATCTGAAAATTATACCGAAGGTAGATATCTTAAATGGAACTATAACATATACAATTTTCTCAAAAATCCGTAGTCAAATTTTGTTTTTATTAAGGAAAACCCCCAAAAATAGGGTAAATTTACACTTTGGCCGTAGTCAGTTTCTAGGTTGCTATGTGTGTGTGTGAATCAACAGTCAACAGGTGATGAAAATATTTTCATTATATTGTTAATTACGATATAATATGGGTAACTATGACAGTACATTTTTATAGACAGACGATTAACCCTTATCGTATCCACCCCGCACAAGACTAAATATTTCATTTTTAGAACATTATTGCTGGTCCCACGATATCTTCTAAACCACTATAACTAGTTTGAACATACTTTCCACAGATTCGCATCGAAGCGTTTTTCCGAAAGTGATTGTATCACTTTCAGTTTTAATAAAATCTGTAGACCTATAACCTCTCCGTCCCCACTATGCCCCGACGCCACTGTACTGGCTTTTTTAAAATTATTTTTGAAAATTCAGTGATAATTCCCATACTTTAAAAATTAAAATCCAATACTGAAAAGTATGTCTAATTAAGCACCGCTAAAACGATAAACGTGAAACGTGTCTTAAATATTAACGGAAAAGTATTTATTACGGTCAGTGTTTATCTATCCACTCTGTATTTGAATACGACAAATACTAATTATTATTATTATTGTTATACTTTTAAAGGCGTTGTGGAAGTTCTGTCGTCTCACGAAGTCCACAATTGATTTTCCTGTGGCCGTCGAAAAATCTCTGCGGTTAAGGTCAGGCATCTCTTCTCAAAATCCATTTAACTTACCCGTGTATTTGTATATAGTAATATTAGCACAATGTTTAGATACTTTGTTAATGAGTAAAACATTATACATTTGTTTTATAATTTGGGGGCTAATTTTGTGTGCTTAAAATGTATATACATTAATTGACCTAAAGTATTGCCTTTTGTTGACATATTATTTTAGCGTTCAACATTCTGTGTTGTTAGACCGTTTTTTAAAGGAGTTTATTGTATAAGTTCTTTTTTTTTTGAGTTGATGTTGGTGTAGATATAACTTATTAATACACTTAATCTTTATAATAATAATAATAATATTGTCAAATCATTTTTATTGGAACTAATTTTTCATTTAATAGGTGATTAATATTATAATATCTGAGGCACGTCAACATTTCATTTACTATTTCATTATTTATAGAAGTGTTCGCTCCACCCTAAAAAAAATTTTACTACTGCTATTTTTTTTTTTTTATTGATAATACATAATAAAAAATAAAATTATTTTAAAATTCAATTATTATCATTTAGTAAGATTAATTGTTGGTTAGCCATCTAAAAATATGTCTCTGTAAGTATCAAATAATACAGGTGTTTGATGCACTGAATATTATTATTATCATGTAACTGTCCATATCTAAACACTTAAAAGTTAATATAAGGGTGTGTGTTAATTTTAGTCAGTTATTGTTGTAGGCAATTAAATTGAATTTACAAATAATTAACACCAATTTAGATAATTAAATTAAACTCTTATATTTATTAATTAATTTATATATGGTAGTGCTCTAATTACATTCTTATACATAAACAACATATACTAACTACATACGCATATATTTAACTTTTTACAGTGTCTGTTGATTTCCATGCCTGCCGAAAATTGATAAGAATGTCAAATTGTATGCAAGATCACTTTGCTGATGTTACAAACTCATTTAGCTATAAAACTAATAACTTATTTACATTTTTAACTGCCAATTTTAAAATAATTGTATGATAGTTGATGTAAAATATTTCAAGATGCATTTTCAATATTTTTCGTACTGTAATTCGAATATTGCACTTTGGTTGGATTAGATTAACTTATAATTTGTGCTATTCATTATATTATAACTAATTTAGGTACATTTCATTTATTTTTTACTCTTGAGTTCACAGGATACACAAACATATAATTTTTCTACAATTTTGGACTTCTGATAAACCAGCAGACCTCTTAAGTATACCGCGTGTAGCTTTCATGATTAAATTCTAATATTCTAAACGTACAATACCAAATACTGACATTGATATGATTTCTCAACAAATTACGATTCTAATGACCAATATCTAGACATGTAATATAGTATAGGTACTACGCTTATTACATAATGAAAAATAAAATTATATTGACATTTTTAATTATGATCATTTAGTAGGATGAACTGTTGGTTAGCCATCTAAAAAAAATATCAATTTATGGATTTAAATGTATGGATTAAAAAATATGAATGTATATTAATTTATCTATTACATAGAAAATATGTCACCGGATAAGTATAAAATAATATAGGTATTTGATTTGATGCACTGAATATTTTTATTATTATTATTATGTAACTCTCCAGATCTAAAAACTTAAAAGGTTTGCATCGAAACATTTTATTTAACCTCTCTTTGGACGTTTTTATAAGCACTGTCGTCAAATAGTCAATCAAAAATCCAAATAATGTTTTTATCACTCTTCACTTCTTTCCGGACATTCGATATTTTAGCCTATCGGCCTCTAGACATTACGTTCTCTTTTAAACCATCGCTTACTAAACCCTTAAGTAAGCAAAACCGGACACTTGATCTTTAACTGACTGATTTTATACATTTATTTTAATCTAATGATGCAAGGAGCGCCAGCTACTCAAATTTTTATAGTTACATAGATCGTTTCTGATCCGACAAACAGCTTGACACACTACAGTTAAACAGTTAGCTTGGAAAATATTTTCTTGAACCTAGGTATGAATTCTGATAGCTAGATATATATGATACCTATCTATAGACATATAAATATAGGTACTATGAATTATAACGACATTACTTCCACATACCGTGGCCGGCCTGTAAGAATAGGAGATTTATTCGACCAATATCTAGATATATAAAATAGATGAGTACTACGTTTTAAAAAGTTTTGTTTCAAATAGGTACACCATACCAGACCATTTAGCCGGCTGACTTCTGAACATTTCTTTCTATTTTAAACCATTGCTTACTAAGCCCGTGAAGTAAGTAACACCAGATACTTTATTTTCAATATATCATTCAAATTAAAAATAAAAATAAATTGTACTTTAAGCAAGTAGCACACTCGCCTTATTATTAGTAGGACGTTTCTGATCTGACAGATAGCTACACAGGTAGCTCACACTACCGTTAATAACAGTACTTAGCTTGCAAAACACTTTTGCTTCTAAATGCAAAAAACCCATACTATGTTTAAAATAAGAAGCGACCTCGGCGGCTACTCTAAAAAGCACCGGACACTCGCTTTTTAACCGACTGACCTCTAGACATTCAATTTGAATTTAAACAATTTTTTACTCTAACCGGCGAGTAAGCAGAACTGTACACTAGCCTTATAGCCTCTAGACATTCAAATTTAATTTAAACCATATTTTTACTTTAATCGTTGAGCAGCACTGGGCAGTCGCTTCTTTAGCAGATCTGTTTCTTTTCCAACAAGTATCTAGACTGAGGTGGACGAGGCACCTAACACTACTCTTAACAATTCTCATCAGCACTTAAGCAATAGTGATTAGTGCCTTTGCCCAACGCCGTAACCGGGCACCCCCATCGGAATCAGTGTGCAAAGTAAAAAAATATTACCATTATTAGATTATCTAACATTACTAGTACATATGAATATTATAAACGAACGATTGCATAGCAGTGCCATTATAAATCAATTGAGGTCGGAGTATGAATAGTGTGTGTGTGTGTGGAAGTGCATGTAGTTAATGTAATTATAATAGAAAATATGATCTACACACACACACACTATAGGAAGTGGAACGAGAAATAACAGTAGCGATAAAGTGTAATACGGTTTGGATCACATATATATAGATTCACGTGAACACATACAGACAAATCATTCTGGCGACTAACGAAAAAAACAGCGTTAAATATAATTTAACGAAGAACGGGTACGTACCGAGTTAAAGTTGGACATTGATCGATCACGCCATACGCGGGGTGAATATATAGGGTCAAAAATGTGTGATTAAATTTGTAATTACTATTGCACAAGACGATCGCGCCGTGATTGCAGAAAGGCCGCGGAATGTACAATCTATTACCAGTAGTGCGGTGTATGGTAATTAAAAAAAAAAAAAAAACAGCAGACAGAACTATGATATAGATATGATATGCGTCAAAGTGTGGAGAATAAATAACAGGTCACAGATCGTCCGGATAAAAAAATGTGTAATCGCTGCGACGACTGTCCGGCGATTGCACTATAAGTACCGGCGCTAACGATAACCTTTCAATCTTTAGTCTTTCAACAACCGGAAAGCATTCATCCTAACACCACATACACACACACACACACAGTGAAAATGTCTCGGTCTTGTGCTGTATGCAAGTTCACGTTTGCTAGCCGAAGCAATATGCTACGACATCAGAGACGATTCAATCACTACTCGGGTATAAACGAATATGGAAATATCATTGAATAGATTAATATCGCCCTGACACGTTATTTACAGTTGGACCGCATCAACCCGGATCAATTCGGCAAACCCCCGGCGAAGGTAAGGAAAAAAGAAACAGATCAGTATTTATAGATATACAGGGTGTCCCATTTACAAAACACTAATCGATTTTTCTCCAAAAATACTTATCCAATCAATAAGTTGCTTATAAAAGACTTTTTAGAGTACAAAGGGGGACGTTAAAAAAGTTTTAAAAATAGGGTCCAAAATTCAAAATGGCTAACTTACGGTCAAAAACATGTTTTTTTTAAAAGGAAACCATGTATTTTTTGTTAACCAAACAAATGTTCTTATCAAAACTAACAGCTTTTGTTGGACATTTTTTTCGAAAAACCCATAATTTGTAAATTAAGTATCTTTAGCTATTTTAAGTTTTGATATTTTATTTTTATGCATATGGGTAACCTTGTCATGTGTAGTAACCTTGGTATGTGTGATAACCATGGGTTTTGTCTTTGTGATACACAGAAAAGAGGATAACGTTAACGATAAAGATAATGATAATGTAATGGTAAGGTTAGGTTAGGTTAGGAAATTATAAACATACCACAGTTACCACACATACCGTGGTTACCACACAAACCAAGGTTTCCACTCATACCAAGTTATCACATATACCATAGTTACTTCACAAACCAAGGTTACCACACATACCAAGGTTACTACACATGACAAGGTTACCATATGCATAAAAATAAAATATCAAAACTAAAAATAGCTAAAGATACTTAAATTACAAATTATGGGTTTTTCGAAAAAAATGTCCAACAAAAGCTGTTAGTTTTGATAAGATCATTTGTTTGGTTAACAAAAAATACATGGTTTCCATTTAAAAAAAACATGTTTTTGACCGTAAGTCAGCCATTTTGAATTTTGTACCCTATTTTTTAATTTTTTATAATGTCCCCCTTTGTACTCTAAAAGTCTCTAACAAGCAACTATTTGATTGGATCAGTATTTTTAGAGAAAAATCGATTAGTATTTTAAAATGGGACACCCTGTATGATTATAAGTTGTATATATATATATTTTTTTTACACAATCAAACATAACATTGGGATCTGGGTGATTACAGTGCACGTAGACTTGACCGTGGATGATGATGATGATGAATCCACCAATAGTATTAACAGTGAACCGAGTAAGTAAAAAAAAAATCAACAAAATAAATAGAACAATAATAAGAAAAGTGAAATATTATGGCACTGTCGTGTCATTACAGCGACCGCGTCTCAACACGCTGGACCTGGTCAAATCCATGTTGACGATGAAGGTTAATTAAAAAAGAAATACAATACTATAGGATGATTATAATAATTATGTTATTTAATTACAGTATGGATAGACTTGACCACAGAAGAAAATAGCGAAGCAAACAATTGTAGTAGTAACATCGGGCAAACGGGTAAACAAAAAAAAATAACGATTACATTTATCTAATATAACATTCATTCACAACTCGGCTAACACGTTCGCAATATATATATTTATCAGAAAGAGTACCAGCGACAGTGGATTCGATCGATTACAGCAGTGACGAAAATATCGGTAAAAATAATAATAATAATAATAAAAATATTCAAAGCAATAACAGTGTTGATCAATTTAGAATATATCGACGTATGGCCTCCGTCTCTGACTTATCACACAGGAACCGCCGCCGCCGCCGACACAGCGATAAGAACTGGTGGTGCAATGCCAATGGACGGTAAAAAAACAATAACACTAATTAAAATAACGCGAGCGGATAAGTACTAGTAATAAATATGATCTTATTGGTCAAATGGACACTAACGATAATATGCAATTACAAATTCCGAACCGTAAGAATACAACCAACACAATTAATAATATGATTACACGTATCAAGTGATATTTAATTATATATATATATATATTTATGTACATATATTATTCAACGGTTAGTAGTACAATCCGATTTTATTGGAATATGTACTTGGCTTTGCGGCACTTAGTATATTTTAGTATGCGTACACCGTGTCTGATTTTAGAAGCACTAGTATAAATCAAAAGAAATTAATAAGTCGAGATATGACTTTACATTTATTTAAATAACAATTTGCACCGAAATTATCATGATTGAAGCACTATTATATTCAATTATTAAATGATAAATTAATTTAAAACAAGTAGTAAAATGATAATTTAGTTACGAATTAATTTAAAATGAAATTATCAAATTAAAAAGTAAAAAGTAAAATACAAATTTTACCTGTTATTCAAGTTAATGTTGGAATTTAAAATAAATTAACAAACCGTGATATACATACAAATTTAATTAAAGGAACAAAGTTGGAAGGAAATTATCAATAGCGGTTATTGAATCACTGTTATAAATAATACTTAAATGAATTTTTTGATTGAATCAGTATTATATAGAGTTATGAAATGATAAGCAATTTAGTAAATAATTTAAAATAAACATTAAATGATAAATAGGGTATAAAAGGAAAATACAAGTTTTTTTAACTGATATTTGTGCGAATAATTAATTTAAAGAAATTATTAAGGTGAATTATATGTGTATGTATATATATATATATATATATATATATATA